GGTTACAAGATCGCTTTTTGCTGCTCATAATTCTCCAGTTTTGAATATAGTGGACATTGTCCATATAATTTAGCTAGAAATTTARTCTAGAATCAAAACAATTAGTATTTTAAATGTTTTTAGTGATCATCTTTAAGTCGCAAAACGTCCGAGCTCGTGTTACTKTAAACTCCGYATGCTCAGTKTASTGTTGCTATGGAYTACATCATTTGTTTATCCAGATTTTCRCGGGAAGCCAGGAACGATTCGATTCCGATGAATTTTCGGCCTTTTCGACCACTGTTCGTCCTCAAATCAATACAAAGTCGTCAGYTDTTTTGAAATACAACACGAGGAACAAAATGGTCGCCATTTCTGAAGATTTGCGCGACTTCTGTCAGTTTAAATTAAGATTTAATTCAAATTTAATCTTGTTACTTACTCGAAATAGAATAACTTTCGTTCTGTTTGATATTTTTGCTTGATATTTGGTAAAGATTTAGAACATTTATCATATATTATGAATTAAAGAAGCCGGAGCTGTGTATCAAATCCCTAGAATTTTACGGCCTATTTCGCCGATCATCCCAGAAAAACCGCAATCGGATTTCAAGTATATTTCAAGGGATAAGGGAAAAATATATATAAACATAAGTAGAATAAAGTTAAATAAAACACCAACTTGAAGCTATAATATCTCTGTGTAATTATATATATAATATATAAAAATAAAATGAAAATCCTATACGAAAATCCAACTCGAGAATCCAACTCGAAAATCCAACTCGAGAATCCAAATCGAGAATCCTAAGATCGAAGGATACATTACACACAATTTAATGATCCGTCACAGCTTCTTTGTATGACAGACAAGTTCCAAAGTTGCATACAGTACACACAATTTTTGATCCGTCACAGCTTCTTTGTATGACAGACAAGTTCCAAAGTTGCATACAGTACACACAATTTTTGATCCGTCACAGCTTCTTTGTATGACAGACAAGTTCCAAAGTTGCATACAGTACACACAATTTTTGATCCGTCACAGCTTCTTTGTATGACAGACAAGTTCCAAAGTTGCATACAGTACACACAATTTTTGATCCGTCACAGCTTCTTTGTATGACAGACAAGTTCCAAAGTTGCATACAGTACACACAATTTTTGATCCGTCACAGCTTCTTTGTATGACAGACAAGTTCCAAAGTTGCATACAGTACACACAATTTTTGATCCGTCACAGCTTCTTTGTATGACAGACAAGTTCCAAAGTTGCATACAGTACACACAATTTTTGATCCGTCACAGCTTCTTTGTATGACAGACAAGTTCCAAAGTTGCATACAGTACACACAATTTTTGATCCGTCACAGCTTCTTTGTATGACAGACAAGTTCCAAAGTTGCATACAGTACACACAATTTTTGATCCGTCACAGCTTCTTTGTATGACAGACAAGTTCCAAAGTTGCATACAGTACACACAATTTTTGATCCGTCACAGCTTCTTTGTATGACAGACAAGTTCCAAAGTTGCATACAGTACACACAATTTTTGATCCGTCACAGCTTCTTTGTATGACAGACAAGTTCCAAAGTTGCATACAGTACACACAATTTTTGATCCGTCACAGCTTCTTTGTATGACAGACAAGTTCCAAAGTTGCATACAGTACACACAATTTTTGATCCGTCACAGCTTCTTTGTATGACAGACAAGTTCCAAAGTTGCATACAGTACACACAATTTTTGATCCGTCACAGCTTCTTTGTATGACAGACAAGTTCCAAAGTTGCATACAGTACACACAATTTTTGATCCGTCACAGCTTCTTTGTATGACAGACAAGTTCCAAAGTTGCATACAGTACACACAATTTTTGATCCGTCACAGCTTCTTTGTATGACAGACAAGTTCCAAAGTTGCATACAGTACACACAATTTTTGATCCGTCACAGCTTCTTTGTATGACAGACAAGTTCCAAAGTTGCATACAGTACACACAATTTTTGATCCGTCACAGCTTCTTTGTATGACAGACAAGTTCCAAAGTTGCATACAGTACACACAATTTTTGATCCGTCACAGCTTCTTTGTATGACAGACAAGTTCCAAAGTTGCATACAGTACACACAATTTTTGATCCGTCACAGCTTCTTTGTATGACAGACAAGTTCC